CAGTGATACTGAAATAATAAACTTATGAGAAGTGATCTAAACCAGACATGTTCGGGTTTGTTAGTGTTTCAAAGGTTGATCAGAAACAAAAAAAATCATCCAAGTACTGGAATCAACCCTAAAAAGACTGCGTGGGGGGAGGGAGGGGGGTACAGCATTAAAGATGAGAGAAGTGTGCATTCTTTAATGAAAAGTGTACATTTCTGGAAAAGACAACTCAGGAAGATGAAGACAGATGAAAGATTTAAAAGCTTTAATGAMGACGGAGCCGGAGAGCAGTTGCAGTTGACTCACCAGGACTCTGTTCTCCATCTTGTCTCCTTTGATCTCCAGTTTGACTCGTTTCCTCAATGACAACTTCACCTTCCTCCCCACTGCATCCCTCACACTCTCTGCACACAAGAGAGAGAGAAGAGACAAAATGAGGAATCATTCAGACCCAAGTGGAAAGTCTGTCACATAATCTACATCTCAAAACGTGTCGTCCCTTCTATTATTGAAGAAAAGACAAGAATGAGCTGCAAAATCTCAAGTCAACTGAGGTAGAAGTGGATGAATGAGTTTTCGCTTTGCTTTGTTCAGTTGACACAGATCAGTGTGCTGTTGCCAAAGGGGGGAATGATTCCATATCTCTGTTAATTAGGAAAAAAACTGACATTTGATGAAAAATTTACCAAATCCAGTTTTAATGTACCAATGGGTAATGGGCTCTCATCTAGTTTTCATTTCATTCTCTCTTCATGAAACCCTCTTCTGGGGCTATTTTGTGCCATTTTCAGCATTTGTGCAGACATGAAAAACTATAAATGTCAGACTGAAAAAAATGACCTAAAAAGCACAATTTATGAAAAACATTTTTCCTGCTTTTGTACCAGAATTCCTTCAGAGTGAATAGTTCAACAGCCCCACTAAAAGAAAGAATTTTGCCTTCAAATATCTATTGTAAACATGATCAAGTTGAAAATAAAGAACAGTTTTACTGTTTCTATTTCTCTCTGGGAATGAATGAAAGAATACTTCTCAAACAAATTTCAGAAGTAATAGTAACTAATAAAAATGCCCATGATGATCCATGTCACTCCAGCTTAAGGACTTATATTCAGACTAACATGGATATTTCACAAAACAAACTTATTCTACTGCATCTGAATCCATCGCTTAAACTGTTTCTGGAGAGGAAATTTTACAAACGCTTTTATAAAAAAATGGATAAAACAGATGAAGAAAATTTTAATTTTTGTTTCATCTATTTTAAGTGTGGTAATTGAGATGCTGGAGGAACAGAAGGCCATTTTGCACCATAAGGCCCAGMCTGGCCTAGCTGGCCCTGGTCTTACTTGGCTCTGGTTGTTTTTGCTATGAGCAGGCTGCTGCCTTGATCTGGGCAGGATCATCATAGCAAGTGCGCAAATCTTTGAGACACACAACACTGGAGGACTTGAGGCCCTCCAGAAGTACCATGCTATAGATGAGGGGACATGAAAACTAATGGACGTCACAGTCTACTCCAACAACAGCTGTCCCCACAACTTCTCAGCAGTCTTTCACAGTAAACCCTGGCATCCAACAGTCGTTCTTTTCCCTGATTGGGAATTTCAGTCTTTGTTGACTCCTTGWTTGAATCTTTTCTCATTGGCCAACCTGTCATCCCAAGAACAATAATTTTCTCATCACCAATGTCACTTCTATGCAGATGACACCCAAATGACAACCTTAAATGAACCCTAGGTCTCAATACTTCAACTTGACTTTATGGATTATACCAAAAGTATTTATTGAACTCTGGGATTTTGGCTATATGATGGATAATTTTAATGCTAATTTTAATGCTTCAGCATTGGTGATGAAAAAATGGCCTAGCCTATAGAGCCCAAGATTTGACTTTGTCGTCATTTAGCGCCTTTAGCATGAACTTGAATGAAGACTGCAAAACACTTTTTTGTCCAACATCATCGCCTGACTTCRTATGTTCGAGAGAATGAATGGGCACATATTTCCTCAGAAACACTCCCAAATGTTGTTGAAAGCCTTTTCAGAAGAAAAGAAAGCTGCATTAACTGCAACAGTGGATCCAACTCTATCCAATTCCCATTGGGTGATAAACAGGTGTAATCAAATAGGTTTTGACTATGTGACGTATCAAACATGAAAGAACACCACCTTCAGCTAACCTTTCTAAAGCTGATGTATTGGACTTCTCTACCAATGAGTCCATCCAGCATCAGCATAAATCAATCCACRCAATCTGTTGAGCAAAAAATCTGAGTGTTATGATGGACGACCAGTTGTCTTTCTCCCACCATGTTGCAGTTGTCTGTTGGGCATGCGACTCTGTGCTTTATGACATCAGATCATATCTCTYGCTCTGTCCAGTGCACACTCTTCTATGAAGTGTACATGTGTACACAGTGAAATCTTTACTTATGGTTGACAGCCAATCCATYTATATAGTGTTCGGAAAACAATAATGACAAGTCACTCCTTTATTTTTAAACCAACACTGGATAAAATTGTTGCTAGAATCAAGTTTAAATGTTGCTTCAAGCTAACCATTGCTTRCAGAGTGACTAAAAGGCTGGTATATGACTAAACTGAGCCCAACAGGCTTGTATATTTCTTAACAAAATGTGATTAGGCATCCCTACACATAGTCCGAATATCAAATGTTGTTCCCTAAAGTTAAGCCACTTTGGATGAAAGTAACTAAAACATGACAGAAGATAKATTTATATACTCAAAACAATAATCATTGTTGTAACTGTAGAGGTCATTTGATGCAGATTTTAAAAAACCATACACATACCGACATGCTGAATGTGTCATTTTCTATTCAGATTGGTTTTTCACACACTGTGGGACCATCAACAGCCACACTACTGGCTTAAAAAGCAGAAGTGGGTCAGCCACTGCTTTGCACTGCTCATTCACTTTGCACACACACACACAAACACACGCAACCCAGATGACTTACAACAGTCTATGTACATGTCTCTGGCACAGGAAGGGATTCTGAGCGTGGAGCTACATCTGTGCTGGCGTGCACGAATCCCCGCCTACAGGCTTCCTCCCACCATCGTCAGATCAAAGTGAAACTAATAATTAGGTAGGGCGCGAAATGGTTCTTCTGCCAGCCTTGAGCTGCCTAAATAAACTTCTCTAAAAATGCGCTGCCTTTTCGTTAGCAGCATTTCTACAATAAAAACACAAAGTATGAGTTGCAGTGATCTTCATACAAAAAAAACTAGGTCTTTTCTAATTTAATGAGCTTGGGCAGCTTAAGGAAAGGCATTTTGAAATAGATTGAAGTATATTTTTGTCTGCTACTTTATTAAAATTTTGAAAGAAGAATCAATTTACTAGCCAGCTGCTGTGAGCTTATTTCAGACAAACAGGACCTGTGCTCTGGACACAGAAACCTGAATATCAGAACTGTATCAAGTGCTAAAGCTRGGGATGCACTGATATGAAAATTTCAGCTGATATCAATATCCAATATTAATACTGCTGTTTTGGCTGATAACCGATATTTACCGATATTACACAAACACAATAATTATTTATATAAGTACTGTATATGCACAAATACACTTGTCTTTTTTCAATACCGTAAAAAAACAACCAGAGCGATGACATGGCTCTCTACTTCAGTTATTCCTGGCTGTACAGCGTCACTAACACTATCGTGATCAAACAGATACATCTCAACAAATCGTTTCTGAAACACGAACGACAACAAGAGGGAAATCGATATCGGATGTTAACATCAGCCCAATTGTACTTATCGGACCGATATCAGATCTCAGTTGAAGTTATTGAAATTCTCTGATTTGGTTGATTATAGTATTTTGTTAATGTATAGGGCTCATGAAAACACTTTACATTCAAACATCCAATTACATTTTGTTAAAAGAGAGTTGTTACAATCTCAAGGTGATGAGAGATGATGGTT